TAGGGAATTCATCAGAAACAAAACTAAGTGGTGTGAGTGTTACACCGGCAAGGGCTATACCAGCTTTTCTTGAGACTGCATACAAAGGTATTTAATGGAAGTAGAGGCAATATGGATACTCTAGTCAGGAGAGGCTATAGGCTTGAGGATGGTAGGACAAAAAAATCTGAATGTAGAGAATGGAAGTTTGTATGAAAAGAAGAGTGGTAGACTACTGCAACATTCAATCCAAAGGCACAAACACTGAAGAAACACAGAATCCTTTTGGACAGTTTCTGATTTTTCACTTTAAGGTTCTGTTCCTCAGCAAGCTTGTTTAGCTGCCTACCTCAACTCTGCAACAGCTAACACATTACATACTTTTGGCTTTTCATTGTTCCTACTATAGACCGAAGAAACCCATTTTCTGTACACCCAAGTTCTTGCTTGTTGAATCTGTAAAACATTTTTCTAAACATCCAACTTATTCCAAGAATCTCTTTTGGATGCTTAGGTTTTGAGAAGAGACCGGAAAATTCTTCTCATGTCAAAGAAAAAGCATGGAAAAAGAATAAAGACTGGAACAAAGATTGAACTGAATACGTATTTCACTGAGTCTTTTAGTCTTGAAACTTGTAATCCAACAGCTCAACCTCTGTTTCAAGAGATTTTTAACTTACAGGCAGCTTGCCTGTTTCTGGAATAAGACAGCATCAGGAGTTGCAGGCAACAAATCCTATCCTAAATCTGTTCCCTTTTCTCCTTCTTTACGCTGACAATTAAAGATGTTTAAAGACAGAACACCCTCAGACTAAAGAAAAAAAAACAACCCTGTCTTTTCCCCACTCATAATTAGTTATGTCACTTTATGGAGAAGACACTTGGCCAGAGGGCCCTGTAACCCTTGTGATAATTTAGTTAAGTGAAGGTGAGAAAGTGTTTCCAGCTAGCCAACAGCCCGAGTGAAACTACAGGCCACCTGAGATACCAAATGCAGGAGTCCTATAGTAGCTAAGCAAGCTGAAGTAGGACACTAAAATCTCAAGAATTGTTGGCCCTTCAGAGTCTGCCATGAGACTCTGCCAACCTTTCAAAAACAATCATCACAAAATCAAAGTTTGACCCTTGGAACAGACTCCTGACAAGGAACCACCAGAGGCAAAGCAGAGCATGCCAAAACTCCTGAAGTACTACTACTACTACAATGGCTCTGTGGGTTCATAGTTCCCTTACTAATCTCGCATAGTGACTACTTGTGGATTTGCTGAGGCTCTCGATGTTTGCCCCTTCTGTGATGCTGCTAGTCCAACGCACCCATTAGGTCAGGTCTGAGTGCCAAGGAAGGCCTAGTTTTTCTCCACACTGCAAAAGGTAACACAGATGAGAACAGACTCCAAAGCCAAGGAACTGCTCTCAAGATATTCTGTGCCTGTGCTGGAAAACTGAGGCTCTGTAAGCAAAACAGTTTGTGAGAGTGCAACTAAAACACCTACCTCTTTATTAGAATGGAAAAACAAGCACACATTTATTTGCAACCCCTTTAATAGGCAGGTTTCTTCACCGAAATGTGAAACGGGGAAAAGGTTGCTGTAGGCTGGGGCTTTGGAGAACAAGCTAGGGTTACAAATGAGGAGCGAGTTAAAACACCTTTAAGGCAGGGACCATTACTTTTCCCTGCCCACAAGAATAAAGGAAGCTGAATTGCAGATTGAGAAGTTTCCACTATTTACCCTGTAGTCAAACAGAAACCAATCAGAAATCATACCCATTCCTTAAGGCAGTAGCTGAGTAGACCACAACTTTTTTGTTTGAAAAGACATGCTCAATACTTCTGTTCTGCTGACTGTCAGGATTACTCTTGTCAGACCACAACAGGCAAACAATGTAAGAGTGATATGGCTGGATAAATGAAATAACTCCTATAGATCAGAGACACCACAAATCAGAAGTGCTATAGCCTATTCCTGCACAAATTAGATTTCCAAACATGTTTTCACCTAGTAATTTGGTACGCCTTAAAATCTACTGGCTTTTGGCAATATTTTGTCATCGAAGGGTCCAGAGTACTCCACTAACAGTTACCTGAGGCTCTCCAAAGTGAGTAGGCTTTGGATGTTCTGTGAATAATTAGGCAGCAATTTCTTTCCTCTCCTGAAATTTAAGTCTTGAACTTTATTACAAAACAGAAAACTCTCTGGGACACATTTTAAAAGTTGAAAAAGTAAACCTGTATTTGTTAAAATGTGTATTTTTAATAATCCTGGGAAGACTTTTGAATATTAGATGGTTATAAAGATATGTTAAATGCAGGGGAAGGGGGAATGGGTAAGATGAGCGTCTGGGAAATAGAACAGGATTGCCAAGAAACAGACATCACTTTGTGAGAAAAACTTGGCATTAAAAACACCAGAAAAGTTGAAGTCATATGCATTAAATACACATACCCCCTGCCTTTCACTACAAGCTAATCAAACAAATTTAGCCAATTACAAACAGACATGATTCCTGCTAAATTTCCTTTGGTAACAAAACAGTTTTGAAAACTGCTGATCAGATTAATACTACGTCTACCAAGCTTTTCATGTCTTTCCTCCTAAACCCTTATTACTTCTATAGACAAAGAGCAAAATGTTGTGAAACTAAAGAGGCCACAATTGATGCTTTCTTTCCGAGTCTTTTCTATACTTATATACACACATACACACACGCACTTTGCTGGAAGCTTAATAATATCTGTTTTCTCCAAAATATGAAAAACTGAGCTTTGAGGTTTTTAATGCCATCTTTAACACACTATTCTGCACACAACAACACAACTGCCTACCAATTTGATGAAGATTAGCACAGCTCTGGGAATACTGGGATGATTTCATTGACAGAATAATTATTACCTAACGCTTTACCTATTCAAGAAATGTCTAGTTCAGTGTTAATTAAAGCTTCCAACAAAGACTTGTTTCTCAGTAGCACGAAACGTTTTGCCTAATGAATCTTAGGAGCGACCAGTACATTTTTGATTCATCCTGTGGCTACCAATTCCTTATTTCTAGAATATGTGTGTAAATACATATATGCTATACACGTAGAAATTGTATTCTGAGAGGTTCACACAGTTTAGAATAATGCACCATTAAACCTGGTAGTAATGGGGAGATCACATATTGTAGATTCTCCAGTTATTTTTGTCTCTTCCTTTACCCTTTTAACATTCTATGAATTTGTTCACATAGGATCTGAAAATCTGTTTAACCTTGTGACAGTAGGTAGTAAACCACTCATTTTACAGATTAATAAAAGAGTAAAACTAAATTGTCTGGCTAAAGCTACTCGTGTAACTACTGCTTCCACAGCCAATGCAACACTGACGTCTCAGTGCTTTACTGAAATGATTCATACATCCTCCTTCAATAAATTCTTCCTGACTAGTAAAAAACTAGCACCATCCTTCCGAACCACTTCAGCAGTGCTGGTAAAGGGTAACTGGGAAGGAAAATCAAATTACAGTTTTGACCCAAAGGATGAAGAGAACTAGGAGTGTAGCGTTGTAAAAGCTGCACTGCCATTGCTATGTCATGTCCACCACAAGGCTGATGGAACATTTCAGGCTACAGGACTACCACGGAAACCTCTTCTGAAGGGAAGGGGGGGGTGGGGAGGTGGGATGGGGCAGGAATCTGAAGTACATCTGTTATAATTCAGCTTCATATTTTAATCAGTTAAATACTGCTCAGTTTAAGAGAGGTCAACGTGTCAATGACTCATGCCGACTTACAGAAAATGAACAAAAATTAATGAAAATCTGGAAGCCTCTTGAAATCTGCCCTTTAAATCAACCACAGCTCTCCATGGGTAAATCTTACAAAGGTGCTTGAAAAAAAATTTAAAGAATCAGTCAAGATTTATCATAGAAGTTCTACAAAGTGTACTTACCCAAGCAAGAGTTCAGGTGAGCGGTACCATCTTGTAGCCACATACTCGGTATAGTTAGCATTGCTTCCTTCAGAGAGATTACGAGCAAAGCCTGTCAAAAAAACAGTGTGAAAGATTGCATCCTATTTTAAATACAATACGCATATCACTGATGATTTGGCAGTAAGAGGTCATGCCAATTTATGTAGAAGCAAATTGTTTAGAACCCCTAGTACAGAATGACGTCTCCAACAATTGCTTGTCTACTGAAATGCAAGCTTTCATTGATACGACAGTGAAAGCCAGCATATCTGCTTTAATGATTACTTCACTTGTGTACCCTCCTCAGAAGCCTATGGGATTTTGTTATTACTTTTGGCGCTTTGCCATAATCAAAACAGAGTGATAAAAGTTACCTGTCAGTACGTCATGTGAGCTATTGAACTATTGCCACTAAATTTCACTGCGATGCTGCTTGCAGAAGAAGATTCATAACATTAGAAATGTAACACATGCATGGGGAGTAGACTCTTCCAGTTATTGATCCTTACTACTACAGTCTCGCTGCATTCAATTTTTTACACTGGTCACAAAACTACCTATTATTCTCATCTAAGGACACACCCTCCCTGACACGGCAAGGAACAGGGTCATGTCCCCAAAACTACAAAAGGCAGGAGTCTATCAAAAATCAGCAAACTACTTTATATCTGCATTTGGCTCATTCCACGCATGTCAGCTTCCCACCTGATTTAGCATCATCTTCATAGCAAGGCTCTTGCTGAACTAGGATCAGAAACTACATGCAAATTAACTTCCTCTTCCACAACATTTTGTTAAGAAGAATAAAAAATGTATACTTATTTGCAATTGTACCAACACTTAATTCCTGCCCTAAGGCATAACAATTAAGACCACCAACTGTGAGAAGAGCACATATACTGGAAAATCCAGATGTATAAGTAATTTATATTTTTGTTTTCATGCTCCTCCCTTTATAAAAAGTCAGCCAAGCATCACCGTAATTATGTTACTGTATTTTTCACGTAGAAGTACTCTAAGGAAGATGCTGGCACTGTTTCAAGAAAAGTATCAAGTGTCTTACTGTTTTCAAACAAATAATTAATATTAAGGTGAGACTGAGGACAGACAGATCTCTGCAGCAAGACTCCAGATGTGTAGGCTCTTTACTAGAGCTTACACTGAGAGAAATTTTTGGGACTGAAATGCAGAAGCGACATTTTCAAAATGCTTTCTTACTAGGATGTAGCATTAAAACTTGGTCTAAAATTCACTTAAGTGAAATCACTGAGTCTTTCCGTTATTGCATAAGCGATGAAGAAAGAATAAAAATTCCAAAACATTGCAGGTATATGGCATAATTTCATTTTCAGAATCAATAAGTGCTACTTAAATGCAACAGTAATTTTTCTTTATATTCGAGTTCTTATGCAGAAGCTGACAAAATTGCTTTTCTCACACAACTGTGCTTGTAATTTTATTTATTTTTTTAGTATTCTGAAAGTATATCTCATTTGGTGGCTTAGCGTGAAGGAGCTCAGCCCCACTCACCCCTGTAGAACACCAATTCATTCCAAGTGGAAGTAAAGGTTTAGATGCAGATTATTATTATTAGACTAGTGATTTGAGAAAACAATGATAAAGTTGTTACTGACATAGGGTACAGATGTTACTTTTTGCAAGATATCTCTACCTTCCAGAGTTATTAAACTAAAAGGCATGTATGATGAGGAACAGATATTTCAAAGTTGTCCCAAAATAATAATAATTCTGATCTGTTCCCATGAAGTTTAATGAACATGACTGATGGTGGTGCAGAAAAGCTGGAAAGGAAGGTTTTTTTATTACTTATAATATTGGGATTGAGTAGATTTCTAAATGTTACTATATTTAGAACTGCTTAGGCAGCCCTGTTTCTGTTTCAAATTACATGACCTATGTGATTAATCTTGCAAGTGAAAAATCTTTCATTCAAGTGTTTAAAGAAGAGAGGGAAGATAACCAGGAACTACACTGAAGAAATGAGACAGCCAAAATGAATAGCGGGAAGCCCCAAGCTAAATGAAGGGAAAAAGAAAAAAAAAAAAAAGAAAGAAAAAAATAGGTGTCACGTGATACAAATAAACACATGTGCTAATGTAATCCCCAAGCCTGGCAGCCCATGTGCCCATGTACACCAGAAGAATTAACAAGGCAAAGATGCATTCTCCACCCTCCAGGTCAGTCTGTTGGAAACTTGGTCAGTCAGGAGCTACTATGTTCAGAAATCGGCAGCAGCTAATGTAGTCTGAAAAATCAGCCTCCAACTTTACAGGCTAGGTGCAGCATGGATTTGATGTGGCAAGACAGAAAGGAAAGTTACCATCATGGGCTTCAGTGTCACCTATATATTGCTGGGTGATGTAAGAAACCCTTTTATGGATTCACTACTGCTCTGACTCTATGACACCATGCTGAAAGATGATGGACAGAATTAATAATTCAAAAAAAAAATTACCTTTCTAAGGACACAATTATCTTTTTTTTTTTTTTTTTTTTTTAACTTATTGTTCCTTCCTCCAGATTGTGCTCAGGTATTGGGAAGAATTTTTTGATACAAAATAAAGGAAGGTATCTAGGCAGAAGGTTAGACCAAACTCTAAGCAGCGAGAAGGAACAGATTAGAAGATGAAGACAGAAGGCCATTTGGGTGAGAGCAACTATGAAAGCAATAAGAGTTTGCAGATGCATCACAATGCAAGAAGGGAGAACATGCAAAATAAGAAATTTCAAGAATGGATTTTAAACAACTCGGGACGTGGTAGGAGAGATGTCAAGGAAAAAGGTGTAAGGAAAAAAGGAGAAGATTGTCAGTTTCTTATAGAGAAATATGGCAAATTTAAGTTAGACAGAGTAAAGCATTCTAACATTAATGACATGTAAGTAATTTAATAGATGCTTAGGAGCACTAGGGAACCTCCATTATTCAGAATTTTAAGAATAAGCTAAGCAAACACCTGTCAAGAATGACACAGACATGCTTAATCCTTTATTTGAGTAGGTGGAACAACTAGAGAATTTCTTGAGGTCTTTTCCAGTCCTGTGTTTCATGATTTCTGTGCTTACGTACCATACAGAGATTAAAAGATTGCTAAAACAAGTAATTTTGAAGCCCTGGTGTTGAAACAGCAAACACACTAGTCAGAAAGCCTATTTCCAACAGTCAGATCCATCTGCTGTAATCGGCATTTTGTACTGTTCTCTTTTTCCACTTCTGTTGGCAGAAATGACACCCACACAGCATGTGTCCAGGCAAGCACCCCATTCAATCTCATTTTTATCCAGCACGATGTGTACAGAACACATGGCACAAGGATTACGAAGAACTATCTTGTTAAAAATTTATGAACTTTTCTATCCAAACTGTTTTGTCCACTGAGCTATTTGGAAACATCCAGTTACTTCAGTATCTGCATTGGGATGGATACATAGACCTTTTCTTTGCACTTGTTATCACATGAGGAATGTGGCCCTGTATGTAACAAGTACCTGCGTTCCAAAACATGAATTATGTTAGGTAGGCAGACAGCATACATTAAATCATGTTAAAAGACATGTTCTTATATTCTAATCTGTACATGCTGAAGAAACACTCGTGGCTAATACCATTCTGACAGACATTTTACAGTAATAGCTTAAGCTACTAGCAGTAATGTCAATTAGCAATAATACTAAAAAATTAAAACTGATCCCAAATTATAAGTGTTGCTTGGAATTTTAAATACAACTAAATCTGAAACATTGATCAAAATGCAAACTAACCCACATGAACAGTAAGAACAACAGAAGTTCCCATAGCTTATTTTCCTTCCTTGAGATTGTGCTGAGCACCACGAGCACATTGTGTTTGCGAGTCTTTTCCAACAGCAGAAAGAGAACGTGGCTGGAGTGTACAGCGTGAGCCAGCCAATGGACCACATAGAACATCACTGCTAGCAGAATTCACATCACCTATTATCTAGTGAGAAAACTGACATCCAGAACATGACTGTACCATTTGTTCAGCTTTTTATTTTCCTATAATAGTGTTGCACAGAGGACGTTGACATGAGTCCACATGCAATGATTTGTTAACTGATGGCACACGCCAACACTAACAGTGAATGTTACTTTCAGGGGGGACATCCCCCCCTGCCCAAAAAATAAAAACCGAGGGAGGGCAGGCCAGGGCCAGGGCAGGCCCTTCCCCATGGCTGGGGAAGGAGGTCGGGGTGAAGTTCCCATCAGGACCCACTCACACCTCCACTGGCTGCTCCTGCTCCCGGTCAGGGGCAGGCACTGCCCACTGACTGGTAGTTAAGCTCTGCACAAGGCCGCGATTGGGTGCCCTAACCACCCAAAGCTGGCGAGGAGGGCAGAGGGAGCAAGGTATAGACTACACCAGCCTGCACCCCCCTGGGAGAGCCCTGGCCCTGCCAGCCCCAGTGGGGTTTGCTTTGCAGGGACGAGGCCCTGAAAATAACTGTAGGCATCTCTGGAGGTCCCTTCCAACCCCTACCCTTCTGTGATTCTGTAAGGGAAGAATCCTGCCCCACCAGCTCGGCAATGGTGCCAGGGCAGCCTGGGCTCAGAGCTGCCGGGGAAGGGGGCCACAGCAGGGCAGACAGGAGGCCTGTGGATACCAAAAAGGCAAAGGCACCTTTGTGTACCTTTGTACTTGTACACCAGTACCCTGGTGTTCTGTCAGAGCTGTGCAGTTCCATACGCTACAGAATAAATTGCCCTTAATTCAAAGAATTAGACCAAATCTTCTAAGGCTTTTCCTAGAACAGCTATTGTTTCTGAATGCTTAAGCAAAAATGCCTTTAGGATTAAAAGAAATAAGCAGCACTACAAATGACAAACGTCTTTTTTGTGTTCCTAAAAAACTATTTCAACCTATTTTTTTAGCATTTCTTCTTTTCACTCAAAATTGCAGAGGTTTGAAATGATAGCTTTCAAACCACTCTTACTGAAAAGTGCCCTTGGGTAGCATTATGGAATTGGTTTTTATTTACCAAGCCAAACTGTACGCTTTTTGGAGGGAACAATATTTTATTCTGCATTTATGTAGCATTTAGAATAAAAATACAGACTGTTGGAACAGTGCGCACTCCGCCCTGTTGTCTTCTGGGGATTCCTGACATGGGCAAAGTTCACCTCGTGCTTGGCTGCTGATTCTTCAAAAGCCTTAAAGCTGACATTAAATAGGTACGGATAGCTCAGGAAACATCAGTGTTAACCTTACACGTACAGCTCTGACTCTGACCTCCAGCCATTCAGTCATTAATCATATGTGGACACATGATTCCTTAATTAACGTAACAGTAAAAGTTGACCTATAACTACACAAGTAACAGTCTATGAAATCTCGTGGTTCCAAAAATATGTAAAAAGTATAACTTTATTGTGTCTTTACTAAACAACAAAGAATTATCTTTTCTTTTAATACGCAGGCCAGATAAACCTACAGTTTTGATAGTCTCCTAATCAGCTTATCACCTTCGCTGTTCTCAGCTGGGTGTCAATAACAGTACTAGTAAAAACCCTGTCAAATATAGGAAGAGATTAATGCAGTGTTTCTATTGACATTAGAGGTATTTCACAGGGCATACAAATTAAGGCCAGAGATCTTTCTAATTAAAGTACCAGCCACAAACCTGAAGTAATCAATTCTGACCACTAAAAGGGTTTTAAACAGTACACACTGTAGAACTCTTGTAAGAATAAGGCAAAACTCCACTGCAAGAGATTTTCTTTAAAAAGGTAAGAAACAGGAATGTTTCTATTGAACTTACCAAAGTCACACAATTTCAGAACATCATTGTGGCTTATTAAGAGATTCTCTGGCTTGATATCTGGAGTATCAGAGTGACAGAGAAAAAAAAATGCTGTTAACTTCTCTTTTTGATTTAGAACTTCGTCCACAAATATTATTTCACTGTAACGTGTTTAGAGATATTCATGCAATCATAAATGAACCATTACAAGAGCAACGCAGCTTCCAGCAATTTAGTCTGTGCACATGCAGAAAATTTTCTGCCTTTTGAAGTGTCTTAAAGTGTTTCTCAATAAAATATAAGAAGATAAAAGGTGCTTACAGGTATTCCTGGCCAGCAAGCCAACATGCAGAATATTGCATATTACACAATAATACAAAGAACGGACATCTAATTACACAGTTAATGAATAAAATGTTAATTGTGTTTTGCTCAACATTTTCAGTTATGATGATCTTCTTGATCACCTCTTGTCATTTGTTTAGAAAAAATGCATTGTCTAGATTTAAGCCCATTTTTTTATTCTTATATGGCTATTGTGGTATCAATATATGGTATATTTTGCAAACTATATTTTACAAAATCTTTTCAGACTCTTGCTTATGTTTGATCGGTCTTAAATATAAATAGCATATTGTATGAGAAATTTAATTTATTTGAAACATTAATTAGAAGCGTTACTCTTGCAAAGCCACAAAGCAAAATACAATTTTATTAAATCACGACAAAATACGTAAAACTAGATGAAGGCACACATCAACATATATACTGTAAGTGCTTGAAGCTTAGAGGAGAAAGTAAATATACAGAGCTGAACTCATGGGAGCTGGAAGGAACTGCCTTAAGAAGCAAAACATGGGGGACCAAGCCGTATGTTTTGGGTTATTTTTCTCCTAATATTATCAAGATTCAAAAGTTAAATGACTGAGCCATGAAATGTTTAAAAAAATTCCTTTTCCTTTGGCAACATCTGTACTGCAGTTTCACTTCGCTATGCATGTGATAACAATCTTTGTATCATACCCCAAAGCCAGTGGACAGCAAGTTTTATATGTAGAGGAATTGAGTTTTACAATAATCCGAAGTCACACAGCAGACTTAAGACCCAGCCAAACTTACAGATTTTTTTTTCTGTTGATATAAAACAATTGCTTATATTAAATGCAAATTACTTCAAGCTGTAACATCTTTCCCTTTACAAAGCAAATTCCCACCCAGGGCTTATTTCCATGTGGAGAATGACACACTTACCTCTATGAACAATATCATTCTTATGGCACCAATGAATTGCTTTAATTAGCTGGTAGATATAGCTTTTCACTTTTTCTGGTGGAACTCCATTTGGCATTTCCTCTAGCAATTCAAGCATATTCTAAATGTTTAAAAGACACATTATTTAAGAGAGTTATACTGTAGTTGTCAGAAGATAACTCGCTTCCAGCATACTGAAGCAACATACTTAGGCCATTGAGCCTGGCTATGCAGAAAGAGTAGTTTAAAATTCAAGGAGTGTATTTTAACAGCAAGCATACTACTAGCTGTTTTCATTCTAGAGAATGCACTTGTGAAGACAATAATCCTTAAGGTGAACCACAAATATACCACAAGTCCTTAAAAGACTGTCGTCAAACCATTTACCTTAAAGCTTCCAAAAAGTCATTTAGTTACAAAAAGTTGCTTAACCAGAAACACCAGGTCAGTGTGGCTACATGAAAAGTTTAGTAGAGCACAGCATTTTGTAAATATCCAACTGTGCTTTAACATACTGTTTTCTTCATTATTAAGCTAGTTCTGCTGCTTTGACGTAGCAAGGCCATGATTAGTCACAAACCATGTCTGTATGTGAATGGGTACAGTTAAAGCAACACAAGCCTGTTACTGCAAATGAAGTAACAGACACAAAAATGTCTCATAGGGGCATAAATAGTAACCTAGGGAATATCCTATAACTATATATCAGCTATATTGATCTTAGAGACATTTGCACCACAGTAACTATGGCCATATTAACTGTCCTATGGATATACCTAGGGAAGAAAATAATCTGATTGTTTATACTAGCAAATTTCCTCTTTGAAAAAGGACACTTAGATTCACATTATGTCAGCAAATGCCTCCAATTTTGCACAATTAGAAGTACAATGGAGTTTGTACTCTGAATCCTGAATGAATAATGGGCAGCAGCAGCCCATTTAAAGAGAGAAAAGTCTTATTTACTGAAAACTGAAATAGAAATAAATATTTTGGCTACATTGCCTTACACAACTCATTTAATTATGGATTTGAGCATCTGTAGATGTTTCCTTTAAAATAAATTTACCTTGTCTTTGACAAATATTTTCTTTAGCTGTATAATAAAAATTTTGAGGTTTCTCTTGTAGGATTATTTTAATGAACACAAATATAAGAACAAAGAAATGGAGACTGATAATATTTGAAAACATTTCCAAGTTTTGCAATCTGTGAATAAATACTGGAATTTACATGCTTGAATGTAAGTTTCCCAAAAAATACAATTCAGATCTGAGAAAAGGAATTTTCTGTTAAGGAACCATATTGATTTTAGTTAGATTCTTGTCCACACAGAAGCTTGTGGATCTGGATAAGTAAGTGAAGAAGTTAGTGTGACAAATACGAACCAAAATACTAGCACCAACACGGCGAGACATAATCCTATATGAAGACATTAACTAAGTGGATGATGAATAAAGGAGATTAGACTAAATGTGAATTTAAGTAATCTGGATTTGAGTATTGCAGAGCTAAGATTCCCTAAAGGACACAAGGTGCTCATCACCAGTTAAAACACAAATAAGCCTACTATACCACATTTCAGTTAATTCCTTCTACCCTTCCCTCATCCAAAAATACAGAAGTCATCCTGGTCTTCAAAGGAACTATTACGGAAAGTATTTGACATAACTGAAAATGAGAAAGGCTCGTGGACTACAAAGTTTAACCAAAACCAAAGGTGACTTAGTATAGAAATTATATTAGGCACAGATTATACATGATGTCTACCTTTATAATTGTATTTTTTTATTCCGATGCAAATAATGTTAGATACTGCAGCCTGATGTTTTTACCAACATTAACAGTTTTTGAAGTATACTCCTTATAAGATCAATTAAATATATTTTACTTTGCTGCTCTTCCAACCCACTACTATAGAGAGCTTAGCCAAGTCAACTATAACAGAAAATTAAATGTATGTTCTAAGTTGGTCTGTGATCAAAAACATTCCACATGTCTGGAAAAATTACAAGGAATTCGGGTGGAACAAGCCAAGCTTTGGATGTTAGATCTAAGTAAGATCCACCACATTAGAAGCTGCTGATCTGCTGGTGAAAAACAAAACTGATTTCTGTCAAACTGTGGGCTAATATAGGTCACCTCACATTATGCAATAAAGTTATATGACATAATAAATTGCAAAATGTAACAGAGACACAGTATTTAGGGTGAGGAATCTTTACATGACAGAGAATTGACTAAAGAGGACTAGACTAGCACTCAGCTAGACTGCAACATCACGCTGCCAGAATATTAAATGAAAATTTCAATCACGGGAACAATTATCTCATGAAAGCTACAGAGATACATATATTTAAGATTGTGTTTATTTTTACTGTAAGTATCTCAATACCATCTAATTATTTCCATGAAGAAACACTAAATGGTTTAGAATTCAGAGGGAAGGCCTACCTTCATCACAAAGGCTGCACAAATAAGAAAAGACTAGTCTGTTCTAGGTTGTTTCTCCCTGGAAATAGACCAGGATGCTTGGCAGTAGTAGGCCAATCTAAGGAAATTTTGGAATCATTTCAAATGAGGTCAGGATTGGAGATAATGACAGTGATCTTTGCCAAATCCCTCTAAGCAACTGTTGATAGTGGCCTCATTACAGAAATATATAAACAAATCCTATTTTTAACAGGGAAGGATGGAGAAAGTTGAAACAGATTCCAAGGTCAAAAGTCTGCGATCTTGTTTTGAAAGACTACGTCAAGATTCATTACACAACATAACACAGGACAGTTAATCAACTTTACAATTAAACTGGGCTATAGAGTTTGGATGGAAATTTTTTCTTCAAACGGTATGTATTCCAGTCTACATAATATGAACTTGCTTGTGTTCATATACGGAAGAACTTTTGGGTTTTTTCAACACCAACTTTCTCACAATAAATGTCTAATTACAACAATTTAGATTGTATTAAAGTTTCTGCTGTTCCTCTTTATAGATCAGAATAGCTTAATTTTTAAAATTAAAAGTAATTTTAAAGACTCTTCCAGAAAGCTGATAATTTAACTGGGGCAAGGACAGTACAAACTCAACTCACTTTTTCCACATATTCAAAAACTAAGTATAATTTTCCTCTTCTTCTGAAGGCTTCCTTCAGCTCCACTATGTTCTCCTGTTTCAAAGTGCGAAGCATTTTAAGCTCTCGTAAAGTGGTTTCTTTGACTTCTTCATTTTCTAGAATGCAAAGTAGAAGTGACAGAGTAAAATTTATTAAAAAACAAAACAAAGTAATAAGTGCTATAAATCTTTATTTTGAACCCCTGATTAAATTATGTTTCTCGATATTACAGAGAAAAAAGCTTATTTTCCACTGTGGACTCTCTCTGGTGCCTGGATGCTTCTGCACTGGAAGAGAGGTAATTGGTGACTGTGCTATCATTAAGCAACGCTCACAGACTTCTCTAGGTTTTCAGTGGCATAAAAAGAAACAAATAATTTGCATTTCTATTTTTTTCATTATAAAGAGCACTAATATGCTTCAAAAAAATATGTATGTATGTATATAGACATATCCACCACCCCGCAAATACATCTCACACATGAAGCACTGGCAAGGTTAATGTGTCCTCAGCAGAAACACTGGAATGCAAAACTCATGTTTGAACAATGTCAAAGAAATCTATTTGATTATAAAATAATTTTATTCTCCAAAAGCTATGACAAATTTTAAGACTAAACCACAGATTTGTAAACCCTGTAAGTTTCCCCACAAGGCTTTCAATGGAAATTCAGCAATGCAGACCAGTGTAGCAGCCACAGAGGGCAGCAGAGAAAGCATTGATTCACTGAAGCCTTCAATCTGATTCTGAGGAGTCAGGAAATTTAACTGCTATTTTGACAATTCAGTTGTCTGAAAGTTGTTCAAGACAGCAGTGTTTTACTAAAGCTTTGTACGCTGCTGGTCATCGAGGGGCCCTGAAGTGACTGGGTTCTGAAGGATTCTACCAACGAAATGTCAAGCAAACCAGATTATATTAGGTTTTATTTTTCATTTAGTAAAATTAAATCCATTAATTCAGTAAATGTGCCCATGCACATGTAGAAGCAGGGTTCTTAATCTCTTAGAACCGTTATCCACAACAGAGGGATATTAAATGGGATATGACTGCATAAATTCAAAGCCAAATCACATTTGCAGGTCATGTACCACAAAGACAGTCAGAGACAGAGGAAGAAGAAACAAGGAAGATAATCTGTTTTTCCAAGCAAGCAAAAGGCAAAAATAGGTTTGCAGGGCAGAAGGAACAACATAGGTTGTGCAAACACATATAATCAACATCAGAAGAGAGTAAAAAAATATAAAATTGAAGTGTAGCAGGAGGGAAGAGGAAAACAAAATACTATCATCACAAATGTTTTGATTAAAAAATATGTAATTTAGAGCAATCTAAATAATTTCATTTTAAAACTGAGTGCTCCGTGTTGGCTTGCATCAGCCTGATTACATAATTTAATCTATAACTAGACACACTCTTTTTTTCCCAGCGTATTTAGCATGCATATGTCAAACAACAGCAAAAATTCAGTGAAACAAAAATGGCAATAGAAACAATTACAGTATATTCAGTTTTCTAATGAACTACCATATTAATGAGACAGATGTGAAATGGGCTGAATCAAATCCATCAAAAGAACTTCTGTCATATTTCCAGAAACTTGTAAACAACTAGCTACAAATCTGAAAAGCAGGCAGTCATGTAAACTGATATTATGTCATATTCTTGGAAAGCCAGCCCTAATGGCAATGTTGCATTTTTTTGTTTTAATTTTTTGGTAGACAGACAAATATAGTAATCCTATGTAGGGCTTAATACTGAAGTACATTGCCTAGGATCTGTACTGAACAGCCATATCGAGCTCCAAAAAGCAATTCTGAAGTTCTCACATGACCTGGTCAAGATGATCACCACAATTAAATTATCTCCTACTTTCTTTAACAGGGATTTAAAAGAGATTTCTGAATAGCAGAGTTAAAAAATCATCAAATATAATCTTTAAGCATGTGGTAAAATCAGCTGCAAAGCTAAAAGTTTGCATTGCATAAAACAACAGACAGGAATCAGATTTTGCTGTGTCTAACTGACTGAAAATTACAGTCCTTGTAACCAACCACACCTCCATGGCCACCAGCAATCCTATAACAATAACAAAAAAGAAAAGTTTGTTAAAATAAAGTGGCTTCTGTTTCTTTAAACCACATCATAGCTTTCAGCTAAAGCCTTTGTATATGGCAAATCATAGCTGCATCGCCTCAGACCAGGATGACTTCTCTCATTACTTCATACTTGGCTTCTCCTTCTGTTTATGCTAGGCCATTAGGGATCAGGGTTAACTTCTGATGTACGCAAGGTAGACAGTTGCTCTTGTGGTTGCTTGCCAGTTTTGCCTATGGTAGGATACTGGGATTCACTGTCCCCCAGCAAGCGCAGGTCAGAGACCCAGTCTTGTCTTCTACAGATCTTTGGTTTTATTACTGCTGGGTGAGGAACAGGTGTGTGCAGTGCTGGCAGTAATTTCCATGTGTCCTGCCTTCTGCCACCCACTTTTCCAGCAACAGTAAGCTTCGCAGGAGTCGGCTCTTCCCCCCTCTCAGCAAACTCAGCAACACTGGAGAGCACGCAGAGGCTGCTGTGAGAGGGCAAAAAGCAAGTTTCCTGTGGAGAGTGGAGCCTGCTGAAGGGAGGGCAGAGCTGCTGCCTCACCACCCAGCTCCCTCAAATCTTCCCACAGACCCCTGAGAGTTCCCCAATTCCCCTTTGTACCACTGAACTTCTCAGTGACTTCTCTCAGTCTCCTCCATTTAGGTAGCCCCTAGTGTTTAGATCTCCTCCCACAGATGAAGGGTGATAAAGCCCAAAGACTCTGCAAGACACTGCTACAAGAGGATTTTTTGACGTTTTCTGATCACATCCAGTCTCCAACTGGTAGATCTTACTCCTGTGTATGGCACCACACCACAATCTCAGCCTTATTAAGATAGATGCACCGAGAAAGAAAGGTAGTTATCTAGCTGGAGTGTATAATGCAGTCCCTAGGCAGGTATGAAGGATCAAGTGCCTTGAATATTCACAGAGCTAATAAATCATTATAATTTTAAAATCATGTCTTGATATATGAGACCTCTAACTGGAGAGACGTTAACAACGTAGTTATTGACATGAAAGATTATGCAGCAGAAAAGGTTACCTTCACTGTCCTTGAATTTCTTGATAGCCACAATTTCATGTGTCTCCTGTAAAACAAAAGCAAAGAAAGGGAAATGAGCAAGATCTGTTGTGTGTTTTCTCTTGGGTTGTTTTTTTTCTCCTAGGCATCAGACAAAGAAAAAAAAAAGCATCTAAAGAAATTTCCCAAAGCAAAACAAAATTAATTAAAAAGCTGGTAAATACCTCAGTGATCAGGCCAAATGCAACACAAAGGCTGGATTGGAAAACAACAATAAAAAAGTGAAGCCCTTCTAGAATACCTCGAGACATGTGCGTACCCAAGTATTGAATAACACATTTACCCCATTTTTCATTTCAAGTCATCATAACGCATGAACCTGTAAAAGACCCAATTCCATTTAAAAGAAAAGCACCGAGAAAGACTACTGTAGATAGTGAATAATGCCTTTTAAGGCCTTCAAATGAAAATCAATACTACAACGAATAAAGATCAGTAACAACGAGTTTGCAAAACACCTAAGAATACATATGTGTGTGTGAGTACATAATTTGCATGTTTAAAAAAAATCCTTTTGATCATCACCCATCTATCATAAAAACTTGAACGCATTATGTTGTGCATTGATTTAAGTAACCAAATTGTATCTACCTCGCATTGAAGAAGGTTAGTTCAGCAGAAGCAGAATGTGCTACTATTAGAGAGGACTTGCATTGCTTTTCTGCTACCGAAACCAACCCTTTGTATACACTGGTCTAATCTGAACATTGATACATAAATTCAGCTGACATACTGCAAAGGTCCAAGCACTACCCTTTGCTCAAACAATTTACAGAACAGCAGAGAAAAAGATTTCAGAACTAAGGAGATAATATGGATTTCAGACTCTGAGTGATTCTGAAAGGCTTGTCTATAGCTTTTATGTCAAACATAGTTCTTAAATATTTTTGTTTCAGGAATCTTGCAAACTCAATGCTCTAAACTAAACTGAATGGACTATTTTACTAATTACATTGTTAACTACTAAGTTTAGTGCTGTTATATTTATTAACTCTATAGTAATAATAGTTACCAGCACTATGAAGAAATACTGCTAAGAGGGTGAGTAAAGTTAGCTTATTTGACTTCTGGTATGCAGTGTTAGGGGCTTTGGCTAATTAGCCACTGAAAGGTTTTTCAGAAAAGGAACACTAATTGCCTCAAAAGCCTCTGCTGACTGTAACATGCCTATGTTTAGACAGTGAGCACACACCACTTTGCAGATAAGCCAAATTTATCCATTAGCATTACATTCCTGTTTCACATGAAGGAAAAGAAAAATTCATAGATGTTTCAGCAACCACCAAAAGGCTGTATTTTTATTCTCAAAGTAATGGCCAAGTATACTGAAAGAAATGTAGGAGTTAAAAGCTGTTGCCTCACACAGACAGCAATTCTGCACCATTCAAGAAATCTAGTCCATGTGGCTTCTCTGCCATATGCTGCTGTCCCTGATGTGTACAGTAAATGTGATTATTTTGGAAATTAAGTTTTAAAAGCTCTTAGGTCACAGTCTTGCAAAGGCTTGTGTAAGATATGCTATCAAATCTCCTGTAGGATTTTGACTATTCACAGTATGTAGAGCATGAGTGGCTCTATTAAGAACAGGAACATAAAGACTTCAGCAACACACATACGAAAGAAAAAGTTATCCAAACAGTTCAAAATACTATAATATTTAAGGAATTTTCATTTTAAAAGCTTTATCACTTGTATTATTTCAATTATCTTACTAATGGTGTCATAATTAAGTAACCAAGAATTTATACATGACATATTCCCTATCTTTAAAAAACCCAACAAATAATATATTTAAATGACCTGAAGTGAAATACCACCAAAATGAGACCAGACAATAGGTGCTTTGGGGAGCTGCACTAGTAACATTTTGTTCCTCCTTAGGCAGAGACATTGTTGACCAGGTTTCTTGGAGGACCTCATCCTATATAAACAGTATTCTTTAGGAATCAGCAACTGGTGAAGCAGTCAAGCCTAAGCTAAAATGGATACAAGGACATTGAAGATAACTGTGCATAGATTTTTAAATACAACGCATCTGCTTGTCAAAAAGTCTGTAACTTCCCTATGATGTGGAACACCTCTGAAGCAGTAAGGTTTTGGAGTGCTCCATCAGGCAGAACAGAAAATTGGAGAGCATGTTTCCCACTTCTCGGTTGAGTGCTCTAAACCAACTAAAGAGTTCATATGAGGTGACATAAAAATTAGTAGCTCTTCATTGATTATGTTTTGAACTAGTTTCCAAAGGAAGAATCCATCTGAAATGCCCCATTTCTCTGTTTGCCATCACCACTAGTAATTTTGAACTAGATGTCCAGTTTCAACCAAATGTTACAGAGAAATCCAAGTTTTAAAAGGAGAAAAATTTCAAGAAATGTTCACAAATTTGTCATTTATATGTAGAATATCGTTCTGTGGAGGAAGAAAGTGGTAAGAACTCTGTCTCCTATACACTGTATGATGTTGCAGACAAACAGCATAAGTAGACTGTACAACAAACACACATAGCTTTTGAGCAGCCATTGTACACAATTGTCATTTACACAAACCAATACAGAATGAGACTGGATAACATGGAATAAATTTTGTATATTGACCAATTCAGCAGACATATAGTAAGGGTGGCAAGAATATGCTTCCTGGATTAGGAGACAGATGCTAGAGCTGTCAGATGATGCAGGCCAACCTGAAGTTTCAAACAAGTACTACACAGACTAGGTGCAAATCAAACAGATACCACATTGTTAAACCCTGGGAAGATGGACAGACTTGAGGATACGAAGAAAAGCAGAGCTTTGAGGAATGAAGGAATTCAACACTGAAAATTTGGACTCCTGTGGGAATCTGAAAGGTTCTTTTTAGATCAAATGTACACTTCGTTACTTAAAGGTCCTTTTGGAGATCTGAGCTCTTTCACGGATCTAGTTCTCTGCTCCTCAAAACCAGGCCAAATTGCAATTCTCCAAAACAGAATTGTCATTGCCTAAAATATCTTTCTTGCATTTCAAAAGGTTTGTTTCCAAGACTGTACTCTGAAAACAATGTTCAGTCTGATTGTGGAAACCCTTCTTAAACAATAGCTCAGTATCCAACTCCTAGCATGGAAAATTCTCATATCCAATTAAGCAATCATCTAGGTAGATAACCTGTTACTAGTTGATTTAATGTTTAAGCCTTCAGTGAATGTCAAGGAAAGAAAAACCTCAACTAATTCTAAATATTCTGTGCTCTTTATGGAACACAGAATATCCTTTCTGATCTCTACTACTTACTACTACTAGCTTATATAATAAAATATGAAAATTTGAGTTCACTTAGCTGTAGTTTCGCTTCAGTCAACTACATTTATTACTAAGCATCTCATTATCTTGTTCTACTAGAAAATTCTGGCCTCAATATTTCGCTTTACATTCTGAGGCAAAAGCAAATTTGCATATGCACAAGCCAAATCTCTCTTAGCATTGATATCACCTCTGCTTATTCAGCATATCTATTATAAATATTCTGTGTTAAAAAACTACAGGAAAAGCACTGTTTTACAGTTAAGTATGCAACAACAAGTGTTACTGAAAACACTTTGTGTAAAAGTTAAGGATGTACACACACTGATAATTCAGATTCCATGATTACATGTGTCTAAAATGGGGCAAAATATGTCTCCTTCATGTACAAACCTGCTACTACCATTTAATAAGGGTAAACCAAAAATTTCTTAATCCATGTCTGTTCTCTTTGCTTTATATATAAATATAGAAGGAGGAAGGAGATACCTGTTCATGGGAAAAGGATATCTCCAGTCCTGGAGACAGGAATGACTTCATGCTAGGGCTCAATCCCTTCCATTATCTCAAAACAGGTGTGGGAATTGCCTCTGGAGAAAACATGTGATTTACTGTCTGTCCACTTAACTGCAGATGAGAGGTAAGTATTCTTGTGGGAGCCAAGCAGTTCTCACGGCTGTTCTGTTAGCCACCCAGAGATTTCTTTCCCAGGTTTCCTCACAAGATTGTAGCACCTGGTATTTCCTGTCACCAGTATCAAACTAGAAGAGTTCCCAGATTCGAAAGCATTTAATTTTATCTTATTTGAAGGATAGAGGTCCCCTGTATTTCCATTGTCTCTACATAATATGTATGACCTGACACTGCAGTAATGTCTCTCCTATTTTCTAGAAACATCCTTGATGTTCATGATGGGAGTACTCAAGGACAAAGGTGCTCCTCAGCATAATTCAAGATCTTAGAACTATAACATTCTTCTATGGAAAGAGAAACATAGTCTACCAAATTATATGCTGTTCTTGAAAATATCACGTGACAAAAAAGTCTCTTCAAATATTTGCCTCTATTTTGTTTCAATGGTTTCTGTTAGGATTTTTTTTTTCCTTTTTCTTTTGCATATCAAGGAAAATTTGACACAAAGCATAGGTACACAAAAAGATTCTTGAAAAACAGGCAAGATTATATCCTTCAGAAAGTCACATCATTCAGCTATAATTTTACTACCTCACCCTATATGAACACAAGAATTTCTCAAGCCTGGATTTTTTAAGTGACCAAAAGAATAAGTGTTTATAAAAATCAACAAAATGAGTAGAGATAGCAATAGTCAATAATGAGCAAGTGCCACGGAGAAGCAGCATGTTGGTGCCGTTACTGAGGTGGTGATGCTCAAGCAGTATCTATTACATCACCTCAGAGTTTTATGTTGATGTATTAAGTGGCATATTAAGATATGATTGGGTCATATTTTCCATCTGTAAATGTGTGAGGCTATAAGGTGTAAAGACAAATGCATGCTTAACTTCTCCTTAGAAAAAGTTAAATCAACTGCATTCTCTACTCCTAGATTAATATTTAATTTTTTAAAAATAATTTAGAAGCAAGCAAGAAACAACAATTTGATCCTTACCGATCTATAATTACATTCACACAATTTAGTTTGCCACAACAAAGACACACATTAAAAAAAAAAAAAACAACACAAACCCGCAACAAAATTCATCCAAAC